TGGGTAGGGTGGGCACGCCGGTGGGCAGGGCGGGCAGGGTCGGCACGCCCGTGGGCAGGGTGGGCAGGCTGCCGGTGGGCAGGGTGGGCAGGCTGCCGCCCGTGAGCAGGCCGCCGACGGCGCCAGTCACGCTTCCCACAACGGGCGAGACGGTCTTGAGGTCCCGGGCCGCGAGGGCGGGAGTGACAAGAACAAACACGGCCAGGGCGGCCACCGCCATGAAAAGCGCACGAGCCATTGTGTATATTCACGACTCTGGGTGCGTTTGGGGGTCGGGAGAGAGAAATGAGGACGGGGAAGTGGGGTCAGAGGTCAGCAGCATCAATCCTTACAGTAGGGTTTGGTCCTACTTGGTGGCAGGTGAGCAAAATCACTGGCAACCAAGCTGCAAAGTGCTCAACGCTGGGACAATATTCCACAGAGGCACCGGTGGGACCCTAGCGCGTACCTGCTGTGCAAAAGGCCGCGGAGTTGAGCTCGACGAGACGCAGCAGGGCCGTAGTATATGATAACACCGTTTGGCTGAACAGCGTATATTACATGGAGTGTTGTAACACAATAGTTGCTCTGTTTAAGTATTCGAAAAGCCGCCTGGCCACATGACAATGACACATTGGACTGCCCTTCGGTGACCGGAAAGATTAGTGACCGGAAAGTACCGTATTGGTGACAAACAGCCTCGCCCTCGTGGTCAACAGAAACATATTAATGCCCCATATGGTGAACAGTTGGCCGAAGGTGGCGGGCGGTGACCTGTGGCCGTGTCAACCCACAGCCCTAACACGCGCAGCGTGCTGTGCAGCCGCAACAGGGGTCGCCAACACCGCGAGAGTGATTACCCCCACGTCTGAGCTGCTGGCTAGCAAACCGTGCTGACGCAAATCTTGGGTGGCTGTATCTCAAATGAAATGCGCAGCATCTGTATCCTAAAGACGGGCTTCAATATGATGGTTGACGCCTGCAGGCGCCCCGGCCGGCGGAGTCATGGTCCTGCCCTCGTGCTGTTGCACGGCGGCATAACTTGACGCCACATGAGTCGAGCACAAGCCATCACTATGTGCTGACCCATCAGGACATGCGGCCAGCCTCGTGGCCTGCCTGACATTATTGCTGGCTTGAATCGTTTGCATTGTGTTGGTTGAAACTGCGTGCTCAGTCAGACGACGACGCAGCAAGATCCCGCCCGACCAACGAGCGGCTGTTGTGTCACTGCGCCAAAAAGTGGCGTCGGAGCTAAGAAAAGCCTCACATGATGATTTGACAATCAAGCCGGGGCAACACTGCCTATACAGCCCAGCAAAGCGATTGTGACACACAGTATCAACAAGCTATCTGCGTGCCCGCAGCACGGCGCCGGTTGTCAGAAACGGCTGCACATGACGCCACCGGCTGCATGTACCGTTTTGGAAGCCAACAAACGCTGTGCGGCGGTCAGCATCAACATCATGGAGCCGCCCTGCACAAGCTGCTCTGATCATGCAAATGGGTGAGTTGCAAAGGGTGGGGGCCCATGAGAGGCGGCGTTGCTTTCACCTTGCACGCACCATCTGGAGGTGCCTGGCAGCTTTGCCTGGCAGATGCCAGCTGCCATGGCCCTTTCCCATTGGCCAGCACCCTCCCTCCACCTGTCGCACCATGCTGTTTGTGGTGCTGGATTCTGTGCCGCTCAGCGCAGCCCAGGTGCGCTCGCCCTGCGGTGCCGCGCTGCGGCCGAGGCACGGGCTCAGCTGCCGTTCCACCTCTGGTTGGCTTCCAACCGTGTCAAAAGTCCGCGAATGGCGGGTTCAACGCCTGCAGGCTGGGACGCACTGCGTTCACCCTGGTGGCATGACATGCCCCTTGATCACACTGTTGTTGAAAGTGCGTGCACCAGAAGAGCCAAGCCTTTGCACTCGTCATTTTGCTCCATCCCAATTTGAGCACGCGTACATCTGCAGCAAGAAAGGGCACGAGTGGCGCTATGACCTGCACATGCTTTCGTGTATGATGGTCTTTGTTACAGAGTGATGCGCATCCTGTGGCTGCTTGACCTGGTTGCCCAAGGCAGCCAATGTATTATTCCTGTGGCTGTATAAAAAGAGGAGAGGAAGCAAACAAAAGGAACCCACACAACAAAAATCGCATTGCTGGTGAACTGTGTTCATACACTACAGTAACGAACGCCTCCATGCGCCTGCGAATGCCCGCCCCATACCCTGCACTTGGCCCAACTCCTGCTTCCAAACCCGCCGATATTGGCCCCAACTGCCTGCTCCTGCCCCGTCTCTACGCTGTGCCTCAATCCTGCTGCTCTGCTGCGCGGGTTCTCACTGCCCCTGCGGCGGCGTCCCCTCCTGCAGTCGCGCCATCTCCTCAACCTCCTCTGCCAACTTGCGCTCTACGCGGCGCTCAAACGGGGTCACCTGCAAAGTTGATGACGCAAAAAGCGGCAGTGGTGGCGTTGATGGCATGAGTGGAGCATCCCCCGTGGCGAGCTTGAGGTCCCACCCAGGTGGCAAGGTCCCTCTGAACGGCATGGTCTTGGCTCTTAGGGTGTTTGCGCCGCGGCTGCTGAATAGGTCATGGACGCGTTCTAAGGTATCCCCCAGGCTAGGGTTTAGTGATCAGGGTCCCCCCAGGTTCACATGAAGTGCCTTCCCCAGGCTAGGCCGCCACGCGTGCTCACGTGCTGCACCAATGGCCGAGAGGGTGCGTACTTGGACACAGTGTTGGGGATACCCACGGGCTGAGGGGGACAGTGGGGCAGGCAAGAGGGTGGCGTGCAGAGATGGTTGAATGGTGCACATAATGCGCAGTACCTATCGGCTCCCTTGGGAAACCGGGTTTGTCAACTCATCAAGCAGGTCCTCCCTAGACCTGTCCACCACCAGCCTCTGCAGGCCACACTTGAGGAGCAAACGAGAGCGGGCGCGGGCGCGCACGCACCTTGCCCCCTTCAATCAGAAACCGCCCGGTGCTGACGCCGCTCGCGTGGCTGGTGCCGCTGGTGCCGGTACGTGGCGGCGCGCTGGCCTCTCTGTGGTCGCCTGCCGGCCCCGAGGCCGGCGTGCAGCAGACGCCGGCGCGGGAGGCGCCTGGGGCGGCGCCGCCGTCGCCGCCGGAAGGCGTCGCGCAGGCTGCCGCGCCACCGTCAGCGGCGCCCGGCGCTGGCGTGGCGGTATCGCTCGTGCGTGGGGTGGCAGGCGCGCTCTTCGGCGTGCCGGCGGTGGCGGTGGTGGACCCTGGAGTGCCCGGCATAGCGGGAAACGGCATGGCTGGGTCGACACCACCGGCTGTGGGTTCGCAGGTGCGCGGCACGGGCGATTCTGCTGCTGTCGGCATCGGGCTGCCAAATGCAACGTCCTCAGGGCCGGTCTGCTGGTCCCGCTGCTTGGTCGCATCGCTGGCGCTGGCGCTTGGTGCAGAGCTGCCTGCTGACAGCTGCTGCTTGCGCTTGAAGGGTGCTCCAGCAGGCGTCAGTGTTTGGGGTACAGACGCGCACGCTCCTTTGTACAAGCTCCTGAACCAATCCCACATAATTTACGGTATCAGGTTTCGCTTGTTATTGGATATACGGTGTTGCGATCTGAGGGCCCTGCAGCACTGGAGAAGGGATGAATTCGCGGCTAGTCAAAAGACAAATAGGGCCCACGATGCACTGAAGAGCGACACAGGAGCACTGTTCCGGTACACGAGAGTGGCGGCATGTTTGAATGTCCGCACCAACAACAGCAGCTGCTGCGGGTGACCGTGCGCGGGCTGCCACGGACTAGCCGCGGATGACCCCTTGCAAAGCTGGAGCCATGCCTGTCTGATGCCACAGGGCCAGACAGGCAGTGAGATGCGCAGGATGCGGTGGCGCCTTGTAGCTGTCAGACCGTGAAGCCAGGCCGTGGTGTGCAGCAGGGCAAGAGCTGGCGCGGCCTTCAAACGACACACGAGTGTGCGCGTGTTTGGGGTTACAAGGCAGACGCCCAGCACGTCGTGCGTGCTCATGTACATCAACTGACTGGCGCCGAAAACACCCCGGGCACGCACATGCCAAGCGGCAGCTTGACTCCATCGACACAGGGCCTCTTGGATGGCGCATGGGATCTGCAGCTGCAAGTGCATGCACCATGGGTGAAGTACAACTGCAGGCGCATGTGCGTACGGAGCCGCCGGCCTTCGTTTGCCGAGCGCTGGGGTTGCTGGACATTGAAACAAGCGGGACTTGACATCAGCGTTTGAGCGCAGGCTTGAGCACAGCCCTGAAAGGACCCTGCTGCACTGCAGAGCCGCAACCAAAAAGCGCAGCAGCGCAATCCGCGCGGCATTTCTGAAAGGATGATGTTTGCAACCAACCCTTGCAGCCCCAGAAGCAATTGACCCGCTGCAGATCAGTCATCGGAATGCACGCGTGCAGGAAGAACCAAACTCGGAGGGGGCATGGTACAGCGGGCCTTACCGCCGAACAGCCCCAGTTCAGCCAACCAGCAAAAAATCGCCGGGCGAATCGCCCACAACTGCTTGAAGGCTGGCAAGCCGGCAGCCGCACAGGTGTGACGGGAGCGGCTTGCACCCCTAACACAGCCCCGTGGGAATTCCGAGGCCCGCCCGCGTTGGGCCGCGCGGGTCTGCATGGACTGCCCCTGACCCGGGAGCTTCATGGGCCTCAAGGTCATATGGGGCCTCAGCGCCGTCGGGATCGCCGCAATCGCGGCGCAGACATCGGCTCTGTCATCATGTCATCAGCTCAGGTCGGGCTGGCCGGCCACCCGCGTCCGTCGAATGCATGGTACAGTGCCCGCCGTGCGAGCGCGCAGCGAGCTGCGCGCTGCGCGCCGAAAAAGGTGGCGCGGCCGCGCGCGCTTGCGGCTGGCGCGCCGCCCAGCCCGGCCGGTTGTCAGCAGCCGCCAACCTTCTTGCTGGAGGGGCGGCGCTATTGGAGCTGTGAGCCGGCCCTCAGCGGCGCTTGGTGCCCTGGCCCTTATGCCCGATGCACCTGCGGATGGGGGATGGGGTTGGGTGTGCGAGGAGGTGAGAAGGTGATTTGCCATCAAGGGTGCTTGATGGAGCCCACAGAGCAGGGGATGGCTGGGTGTCGGTCAAGATACACATCCCTGTAAAGCTGACGGGCCAAGCCGCCGAAACAGCAGCGAGGGGTCCAAGAGTTCGGGGCGCGTGCACTCACCAGCCCTGGTGGCCCGCCGGCCGAGTGCAGCCCGCCGTCCGTGGGCACAGCAGCGCGCCGCCCTTGTGCACTATGCCCCCGACGCGCTCCATTGCCGCTGCCGGCCGCCCGGTCGCCTCCGCGCCCGCCTCCGCGCCTGCGCCCGCGCCCTCCTCCTCCGCCACGGCCCCGTCACCGGCGTTTGCCCCGTCCGCCGCCAACTCCGCCGCCGCCTCCGCCGCCGCCTGCTCCGCGTGTGCAGACGCGATCGCGGACGCGACCGACGGGTCCGAAAACTCGAGGAGCGCCGAGCTCTGGGCGTCCAGCCGCGCGCCGCGCGGCGCCGCCGCCGGCCCGCCGCCGCTGCGCGCCCCGGTAACGCCGTTGGCTGCGACGTCCGCGCCGCCGCTGTCGGTGCGGGTGGCGGGCGGCGCCATGACAAGGACCTCGCAGGGGCTCGTCGGCGTGAACATGCCCGGCACCATCGGCGGCGACGACACCGGCACGGCCGTCATCAGCTGCGGCGGCGCGGGCGTGCGCGCGCGGCGCGTCCCCGATGCAGGCTCGCCCGCGGCGG